TACCATGATGGGATATTTCCCCTGGTGCTGTGGAATTTTTCCCACCTCAATGTGATTATGAGACATTTTCCCTGCTGCTGCCGTGGGATTTTCCCACCCCAATATCATTATGGGATTTTCCCACCCCAATACCACTATGGGATATTTCCCACCCCAATACCATGATGGGATTTTTCCCACCCCAATGTCATTATGGGACATTTCCCACCACAATACCATGATAGGACATTTCCCCTGCTGCTGCTGCCATGGGATTTTTCCCACCCTAATGTCCCCAATACCATTATAGGACATTTCCCACCCCAATACCATTATGGGACATGTCCCACCCCAATATCATTGTGGGATTTATCCCATCCCAATACCATTATGGGATTTTTCCCACCCCAATACCATTATGGGACATTTCCCCTGGTGCTGCTATGGGATTTTCCCACCCCAATATCATTATGGGACATTTCCCACCCCAATATCGTTCTGGGACATTTCCCCTGGTGCTGCCATGGTGATTCCACCCCTTCCCTGGGCAGCCTGGTCACACATTCAGTGATCCGACTTCACCCCATATCCAATCTAAACCTCCCCTGGCACAGCTTGGGGCTGTTCCTCTTGCCCTATCACTTGGGAGAAGCGACTCACACCCACCTTGTCCAACCTCCTGTTGCCCCCCAGAGCCCCGTGCCCATTCCCCACTGCAGTGGCACTGCCAGGCACCCACCTGGCACGGGGGTGGCTCCTGGCCACCTTGCCCAGCTCCACCTCGTTGTCAAAGGCCATCAGCCTGACCCCGTGGCTGGCTGCATACCTGAGGTGGGCAACCTGCTTGCAGGGGCTGCAGTAGAAGATCCTGTCTGGTGGCACCCCAATGCCTTGGACACGGCTGATCTCTGCCTGCAGGGACAAGGGGACACGTGCAGCAGGTCCCAGGAGCTGGGTGGGGACCAGCCACCAGTGCTGAGCAGTGTCGCAGTGTCACAGTGTCCCTTTTGCAGGGAAAAGCTACCAGAGCTCAAAGGGATCACAGTGGACTTTGCCCTGGCATGGAGAGGTTGGAAAACACCAGAGAATGGGAGAGGAAACAAGTGGGGTTAGCAGGGCTGGGGCTGTGACAACGCTTGCCCTTTCTCGTCCTATTTAATTACATAAAAGTGATTTAATTTTGCCTCCTCCCTGGAAGTCGGGCTGTTAAAAATGACAAGCAGGAGGGAGCAAAAAGCTTTAGGTTCAGCCCTAAGGACATCAAGAGTTGGACAGATGTGGCAGTGACACCCCAGGGATGTGCTGTGCCACCAGCCAGGACAGCAGCTCCAGGGACAGGAATGGGGACAAGAAAATCCTCTTGTCCTATTTAATTACATAAAAGTAAGTGATTTAATTTTGCCTCTTCCCTGGAAGTATGGCTGTTAAAAACGACAAGCAGGAGGGAGCAAAGAGCTTTAGGCTCAGCCCTGAGGACACCAAGAGCTGGACAGCAGTGACAGTGACACCCCAGGGTTGTGCTCCAGGGACAGGAATGGGGACAACACAGATGGGACAAGGATTTCTGGGCTGTGACAGCAAAGGGACACTCCTGCCTCTGTCAATGTCACCCAGAGCACAGATTCAGGAAAGGAGGGTGAGCTCTGCCACTATCCCACAAGTGACAAGCAGGAGGGAGTAAAAAGCTTTAGGTTCAGCCCTAAGGACACCAAGAGTTGGACAGTTGTGACAGTGACAACCCAGGGATGTGCTGTGCCAGCAGCTCCAGGGACAGGAACGGGGACAACACAGATGGGACAGGGATTTTTGGGCTGTGACAGCACAGGGATTCTCCTGCCCCTGTCAATGTCACCCAGAGCACAGATTCAGGAAAGGAGGGTGAGCTCTGCCACTCCCCCACAAACATTTCCCCAGGATCTGCCCTCCCACGGCCCTACCTTGTTGGCACAGGCAAATCCTGCCCCCAGCTCTGCCAGCAGCCTGAGCACCCCCTCACTGCCGTTGCACTTCACTGGGAAATAGGGCTTCACCCTGGGCAGGGCCTTCAGGAAACACAGGTGCTTCTTCACGATGTCCCCCAGGTCTGCCACGAAGAGGGCCTGGTGCTGCTGGCTCTAGGGGACAGCCAGAGTGAGCAGCAGCTCCAGGAGTGCCCTTTGGCAGCAGCAGCAGCATCAGAGCATCAGGCCTCACCTCCTGGCACAGCTCCCCCAGCAGGTTCTCCAGGAGGTCTCTGGTGGTGAAGCCCTCCTCCACCATCAGGAAATTGGATTCGTTCAGGTACCCGTTCATGGTGGGATGTTCTGGGGGTGGGGGTGATCCTTTAAAGCCTCCTGGAGTTGGGGATGGGTTCTAAGGATGAGACACGCTGTGAAAAGGAAAGGAATATGTGATGGTGTTCACAGGGGTCTGAGGATGAGGGAAGAGATGAGGATCTGACTCCATGTTTCACAAGGCTTGATTTATTATTTTATCATATATATTATGATTATATATATTACATTAAAACTATACTAAAAGAGTAGAAGAAAGGATTTCATCAGAAGGCTGGCTAAGAATAGAATAAGAAAGAATGACAACAAAGGCTCTGTCTTGGACTCTCTGTCTGAGCCAGCTGGACTGTGATTGGGCATTAATTAGAAACGACCACATGAGACCAATCCCAGATGCACCTGTTGCATTCCACAGCAGCAGATAACCATTGTTTACATTTTGTTCCTGAGGCCTCTCAGCTTCTCAGGAGGAAAAATCCTAAGGAAAGGATTTTTCAGGAATATTTAGAGGAAAGGTCCAGAAGCTCCATCAGCATGGAGCACCCATCCCACAGGCAGGGTAGAGCTCTGAGCTGCTCTGCTCCAAACCAGCAGCTCAGCAGAGCCCTGCTGTGGGTTACAGCATCTTCCCCGGGGGAGGAGACACATTTCTCTGCAGTTCAGAGCTGTTTTGGCACACAGCAGCATCAGCAGGCACCAGCACAGTCATCAACAAAGCCAAGAGTGCACCACAAAGAGCAGAGATGCCTCTCTGGGCCAGGACAGGGCCCTTCATGCCCTGAACATCCCAGATGGATCCCAAACAGCTGAGGGCTCCTGGACCCACCTTCCCAGGGAAAAGCCCCAGCACAGGGCACTCAGTGCCCTGCCCCAGCCCCAGCACAGCCTGGATCCCTGCTCTGGATGCAGTTCCATGGCTGTCCCATGTCACAGGGTATGGAACAAGGGGACAGTCAAACAGCAAAGAGTTTTCTGGCTCATCCTAGCAGAGCTTTAGCTTTGAACTCACACCCTGAGCTTTAACAATTTCCTGCCCTGGATCCAGCCTGGCCCACAACGCAGGGAGCTGGTGAGCTAGCAGGGAATATTTCCACCCTAATAATCCAGATGTAGCTCCAGGGCTCTTCCAGGAGCATGGTGTCTCTGATTGGAAGTGGTTTCATTTCTCAGAGCTGCACAGAGACCTCCTGACAGCATTCCAGGGGCACTGGGAGAGAGACCACACTGACCCCAGAGCAGCAGGATGTTGTAATGCATTGAGCAAGCACCACCAGCCCATTCCAGAGACAGGAATGGGGTGAAAAAACACGTTTTGAACTCTTAGAAGGAAAGGAGGACTCTAAGAAGGAAAGGAGAGCAACTCCTTCAGCTTTACCCTTCAGTCTCCATCACCGAACAGCACCAGCCCACTCTGGTTGGCACAGAAGGGATTAAATGGGTCATTTCCCCTGGGACATCCCCTCCTTACCACGGTCCTGATGTCCTTCCCAGGTGTCCGGGTGTCTGTCAGGGGGGCTCCCCAAGGAACACCGAGCTCCTGAGCTGTAGCTGTGCCTTTGGGTCTGGGGTTTCTGGGGAGAAGCAGTGCAGGGGTTTAGAGAGGGAGAGGGAAAGGAGAGCAACTCCTTCAGCTTTACCTTTCATTCCCCATCACCAAACAGCACCAGTCCACCCTGGCTGGGCATAGAAAGGATGAAATGGGTCACTCCTGTCAGGACTCATGCCCCAGCCTTACCAGGGTCAGGTTGTCCCTCCCAGGTGTCCGGGTGTCTGTCAGGGGGGCTCCCCAAGGAACACCGAGCTCCTGCAGCAGCCTGAGCTGTAGCTGTGCCCCGGGGTCTGGGGTTCCTGGGGAGAAGCAGTGCAGGGGCTTAGAGAGGGAGAGGGGCACTGACAGCACGATGCCCTTCATCCCCATCCTTAAATTAGGCACTCCACAGCTCCCTTCTCACTGTGCCAGGCAAAGCAGCCCACCCAAAAGCCCCCTTACCTCGGGAAGCATTTAAACAGCTTCTGCCATGGATATCCCAGGAGAATGAACCAGCCCCAGGGCCGGCTGTGTGTCCTGCCCCGGCTCCCTGTCTGTCCCGAGCCCCTGCAGAGGATGGGGGGGCTCTGCACCCCTTCCCTCCCAGCGCTGCCTCCCTGCTTTGCCTCCCAACCGTAGCTATGACAACCAAATCCAGCCACGCCATTGGCTGAGCCGCGTCCGA